TGCAACTCAACTAAAAGGTCAACTTTATAGACATACTGTTCTCACTTTACATGGAAATGTGAATGAATAAATGATTCCTTCTCTATCAATTACATTTGAGGATTGCTATGTAACCAACAGTTCCACTATGGGAATAAAAGTACATAGAAAAGAAAAAGTGACAATAAAGTTAATGTGAAAAAAGTACTATAAAATATCTACTTTTAGATATATAAAGGCATATGAAAAAAAAAATATATATATACAGGCAATGCTTGGAAGCTGAAGGACAACAAATATTTGTATATTTTGAAGAGGAATCACAAAATACATATTCTGGCAAAAAGTATCTCTGGTTAAATATCTTTTGATAAGTTAAATCTGAACACCTTAATCTTTGAAGCTTACTTTTGTCACCCTCACAAGGAGGACAAACAACTGAAAAGAAAATATTAGTAGCAAAAGCAACCTATGTGAAAATTTTGGTATACTTATTGAAATTCAAGACAAAATGTTCTTTTTTGGTTTCATCTGACCAGATAAATCCTTCCCTACATAGTTGGACAGTCATTTAAATATTTAGTAGCATGCTCTGGGTCAGTGATCTGCAAAGGTTTGGTGATATTTGGTGATGCCTGGGGCCAGCTCATTGATTGACTCAAGGGCCTAGTGCTGAGAAATGTGAGAAAGAAAGAGATTTTACATATAGAAAAACAGATGAAACATGAAATAAACATTTCATTCAAATTAAATATAAACTAAATTTTTATTTCATTCTCTGATTGGATGCCCTCCTGATATGGATGCCCAGGGCATGCTACTGCTCTGGGGAGCATTGAGGTGATATTTCTTCAAATGTGGATTATTTCTTGCAACATGTCAATAAATATATTCCTTGTGCAAAATGCAGAATATTATAAACTTGTGCAAGGTAACACCAGCATAATGGATATACTTTTTCATGTGTTCAACATTGACAGAATGTTTGGTGTTGGTTTACCTGACCAGTTTGGACTTGGTTCAGACATCTAGGACACTTGTAGAGTTTTTTGTCCAGAATTTTTATGTATTTGGCCCTGTTCACAGTTCCTTGCAAACAAAGAAAAAAAGTGCCATGCCATTATGCTACTGTGTTTTACAGTCTTGTATAGCATGGGCCAGATCATCAGTTGTAGAATTTGTACTTCATGGAATTCAGGTCAAAAAGTTTCATTCTGGTTTCATTTGAACAGATAACCTTTTCCTACATAACTGTTTTTCAGATGTGTAATAGCATAATCTAGATGAACTTTGAAATATTTTTTCCCTTCAAAAGTTTATTCTTTTTTGTCATACACACATAAAAATATTCTTTGCACAAAATATGGGATATTGTGGATTTTTTCACTATAGCACCAGTATGATAGAAAGAATTCTTCAAGTCTTCTAGTGTGACTGAAGGATAGGCTTTGGTTTGCCTAACCAATTTGAACTTGGTTCTTACTTTCATGTTCAAGAGACACTGCACTTCTGAAAGACTATATTGAATCCATTGTTAGGTCACCTGCTAAAACAATTTTTCTTTCCAGAATCTATCTTACATATCTATAAGTCTACCATTTGCACATGCTTAGAATATTTCTGCCACATATGGTCTGGTGCCCCTATTATTTATCTTGAGCTCTTTGAGAAAATCCAAATAAGAATCAGCAATATTATTGGTCCTGATCTGGTGGCTCAGCTTCAGTCACTTTCCCACTGCTGTAAGGTTGCTTCTCTGTATCTTTTCTATAAATACTTTAATGGCAATTATTTGGATGAGTTCTTCGCTATGGTACCTAGACTTTTTGAATTTAAGCACAATACTAGACTTGCATCAAAATCTCATCAATTTGAGTTGAGCTGGCTAGATGTAGCCGGAATTTCTATGCTAGCAGTTTCTTTTCTCACACTTCTTGTTTGTAGAACTCCCTTCCTGCTTCATGCTTTCCATTCAACTTTAATCTGCAAAAATATAAATGCAATGCTAGTCGCTATCTACTGTCCTCCTGATTACTCTTTCCTCTTCCTGCTTATTATTAATGTATCTGTTCCTACCTCTTTCACACCTTGTAAACCCTTGTGTCTTAGTAGCTTTACTGCCTTGCATAGGGTGATACCATTTAAAAAAATTTGCAGTGATAACATGAATCTTCCACTTCTTGACCACAGATACCACAATATATTTTGGTACATATAATGAACTGTCTATAGATTTAAAGCATTCATTATCTTTGTGTTTTTCTATAACTTTCTTTCTCAATTTTTCTGATAACTCATTGTGGTTCATCATTTCAGCACCTGCTGTTTAACTGATGAGTACAGTCTAATTGTAGAATATTGCCCAATATTTTTTAGAAGAATCCACTGTAAATTTTATCCCACACAAGACATACCCGAACAAATAACCATTTGTGACAATTTGATGTAATAATTTGTATTGGACAATATGTGAATGGCCCAGAATTTGATGATTTCTTAGAGGGAATGTATATATATATATATATATATATATATATATATATATATATATATATATAGGTATAGGGTTAAGTAAATGAAATAACTTGATATTAGCAAGTGTATACACATGTGCTGGCATGTGTACACTGGTAAACAAATAAGTAATTACCAAATTTAGCCAAGAGGTATATGTGTATTTATTAATATGTATATATATATAGATGTATAGATGTGTGTGTGTGTGTATATATATATATATATATATATATATATATATTCAGGGTTGGACACTGTCTGTCATTCCCTCATATAGAGTTCAAATGAGCACAGTGAATTTCTTGGGGTATCCATAGCATTTGAAGACCTGTCATGTGGCTGACCATCGAACACTTTTTCAAGATCGTAGAAAATCATTTCCATGGTTTGTTGCTGCTCTTTGCCCTTTTTCTGGATTTGTCTCATATCGATGGTTCCTCTGTTGGCTCTGAAACTACATTGATTTTCAAAATGTGGTGTATTTCATAACACAAGTGATAAAAACATAAACAAAAAGAAAAAATATAAAATGAAATTGGCTCAGTTATATACCTAAAACAAATAATAAAAAAAAATTAAATTTAAAATTTCAGCATTCCATCTTCTTTGTGTACAAGTGTAGACACATAAATATCCTTTTAGATCAATGATGTTCTAAGGGGACAAAATGCCTTACACAAAATTTTTTCCACTTTGTTATAGATTTTCCTAATTTATATATATATATATATATATATATATATATATATATATATATATATGGTACTTCAAATGTTATTTAATGGACACCTTGAATTTGAAATTGCTGTGTTTTTTTTATTTATTAAACAGTGTTTATTACATCTATTTGAGAAATCTTAGTAAAGAAAATTATACCTCTGGCAGGGTTCTAGCTTGCATCCCTCTTTGTAGACCACAAAGAAACTCAAAGGGATGCAGATTCAATCCCTGCCATGAAGCACATTTTTTTACTAAGATGTATTCATGCTGATAATAAACACTGTTCAATAAATGCAAATTGGGCTTCTATTTCAGATATGAAGTGTCCATTGAAAGTAATCTAAATATTGAATTAAAAATGTATATTTATCATTTCCCTGTTATTCTGCATTGTGTACAGTTATGTTACCACCAGATATTCATGTGTGATACTTCATATATATATATATATATATATATATATATATATACAGGGTGCAATAGATAAAATGTAATGTAAATTATGCAAAAATGAAAATAACACTGATCTCATTTTAACACATGTATTTAACAAAATTACACAAAAATAATACTGAGATGTGAAAGAATAAGTTTATTCAATAAAATCTTCGATTGGCTTCAACCGCAGCCTCCAGAGGATTTAGGAATCTCTTGCAACTCTTCTGGACAGTCTCCTTTTTTAAGTGGTGAATGCTGCCATGATCCTTGTTTTCAGTTCATCTTTGGTGTTACAAAGAGTTTTGTTGGTCACTCACTCAATTGCATCCCACACATAATAATCAAGGGGGTTGCAGTCTGCAGAGTTAGGTGGCCAGATGTAAAGGATGATGTGGCAGAAAAAAAATTGTCTGACACCCATGACTGGGTTCTCCTTGTGTGGCATGGTGCAGAGTCCTGTTACTAGACATAGGATCTTCCAGCAGCAACCCTCTTGATCCAGAGCCAAAACAAACTCCTCAAGGCACATGGTGTCAGCCACTGTATTGAGTCTGAGGCCTTCACCAACAAATTCAGAAGTTCTTTTCTCATCAGAATGATCAGAGTCAATTTTTTCAAGCTGTCGTACCTTTGTAATCACCATTATACACATCCACCTATTTCCGAATCCTCTGCACTTTCCTCAGGTTGATGCCTGAACAATCTGTATTGGAGATTCTGCTGAGAATGGCTAGCAGTACAGCATGCAGTTGACAAAATTAAAAACAAACAACGTGCATGCACGAAACTGAAAATATAAAATGGCAACAATTTTTATCTATCATATCCTGTAAATAAATCACTCTTTGAAAGAATTGAGTACTATTACAATCGGTATGATGTTTATACATAATGTATATAATGTGTTAAAAAATTCACATTCTCTATTGTGCGCTGATAGCCTAGGGGTAAGGGTCTCTGACTGATGTCAAATTGGTCGATTTTCAATCCTGTCTTGAAGTAATAGGATATCTAGCTACACTGAAGAGCTGTGATACAGAGAAACAGTCTTTCTGTAGATGACTACTAATACTTTCATTTGCTGATTGAGCACTATAGAGAAAAGGGAATTTTTACCAGCTGCTGCTGCTGCTTTATATGCATTGCTCATTGAAAGAATTGAGTGCTATGGTGACCAGTATGATGTTTATACATCACGTATATATTACGTTAAAAATTCCTTTTCTCTACAGTGCACCATAGGCTAGGGGTAAGGTCTTTGACTGATGTCAAATTGGTCAAGTTTCAATCCCAGCCAGAAACAATTGGATGTCTAGCCACACTGATGAGCTGTGATACATCAAAACAGTCTGTCTGTGGATGACGATAGATAGATAGATAGATAGATAGATAGATAGATAGATATTGTTAAAATTTGCAAGATTTATAGAGGAAGAGTTAGAGAACTTATAATTATAGACAGTGTGGAAATAGAAATCAAGACTACATGGTGAATAACAATATCACACTTTGATATGATCTTCAGATCAAATACCAGTACCCCTTAGTGGCTTGGATATACAGTGATTTGTGTATATAGGTCATGAGAAGATTAAGGAAAGTGGGAGAATAAGAAACCAGCCATTCCCAGTTTGAACCTAACCTACTTACATACACACTTCCTCCAGTCACCTAATCAGCATCAATAATCAATCTAGAATTCATGACCTTAAATAACACTAAGTATTATTCCTAAATATTAACCTGTATGGAAAAGTAGTTATTTGCATGTCATTTGACCAAACGTAACTATAAGTACATAAAGAATTACAATGTGAACAAAAGAGGAAACATTTTGATTATTGTTCATCTCAATAACAATAATGGAAAAAGATTTCGCTTTTGCAGATTATACAAGTATACACTGTTCTGTTTGGCATTAGCAGAATATAATACTCTCATTATTATATTTTGTTTCATTTAAGATTAGTTACTGACAAACAACACTTTATCACAAATTTATGTAGAAATAAATCTCTTGTCTGCAAATCATGAAATATTGGCATTATTGTCTCAGTTGTCCTGGGAACTTCACTTTCTTAATTCCTAATTATATAAATGCATTTATCAAATAAAGTTTTGCTCCTGGTTTAAAAGAAACCTGACCTCTGATGCCAACAGAAGATTGGATACCTGAAGACATTGGTCCTTCTAAATGAGAAATTGGTATATGACATTTTCCATCATCTTCTATTTCCATCTATAATTTTTATTATTGTTGACTATTATTCCAAGTAGAGTGTCTTGAAGGTATACGACTGATTTTAGAATGGACCTGGGTTTAATTTTCTTTGACATTATCTCAGATATTAATTTCCCCCAGGAAATCAGGTAAAGTAGGCACAGAAAAGTATAGACAATGCTTTTCATTATATGCAAAGAATGACAAACAGTATCATTTGCCATGACAGCAGTCCATAAGAGATAAATGGTTCATGAAAATGCTTGCTTTCAAGGTTGGGAATTTCTTATTGAAATAATAACCATTGCTAATTTGCTCATGAACCAAAGTACATTGATATATACATATATATATATATATATATATGAAGAAATATAGTCAAGGTGTGCTATATTTATGGGATAAAGTGCTCAATATCAGAAATAGAGCATGTGTAAATATAAAAAGTGAACATAAAGTCAACACTTAGGGCGACAGTCTGTTTCATGATATATGCATTCGTCAGGCCTCCGAATGCATATAGCATGAAACAGACTGTCGCCTCTAAGTGGTGACTTTATGTTCACTTTTATATATATATATATGTATATATATATATATAATTGCTGCCAAAAAGATTGAGGAAATTGACCTTGAAAAACAAAATTATCTGAACATCTAATTTCCACTGTCATTTTAAAGTTTTACTTCATCAGACTTTGTAGACAGGTGCTATGGAATGAAGTCCTGTGTATGAGCAAGGCCTCTGATTGGGAAATTTTGAGGATCATGGAACTACTGGTTAATTTGCTGTTGTTCCCAGGTTTTACCCTGACATGGTGTGGTAGCACCTGTTAGGGTCCCAGATATGGGCAAATAGTGAACCTCCAAACAAAAACAAAACATTATGAAAGTATAAAAATACATTTTTATAGTAAAACTATCAGCAACACATTTTTATACAGTAGCGTCCAAAACTAAGGGACATAATTTTAAAACCTAATATTTGTTAGAAATAACAACTGTGAAAAGCTGAAATTTTGACAACTGGTAGTTGTTATCATCCATAAAATTTGAATCATTTGCAAAGGATAGAAAAAGAATTATAACAATTGTTTATTTATTTTCAAAATAGGATCGTCCAAAAGTAAGGGACAAAATTGAGAAAAACAATGTAAACAGTATGCTATATTCAAATTTTTTGATTTCCTCTAAAGAATAAGTCTTACTTAGTCATTTGTAAACGTTGCATCAGCCGGCACCATGGCGAAACGCCAAAAACTTGATTACTCTGTGAGACAAGCTATTGTGAAGCTACACAAGGAAAAGCACGCCATTAGAGAGATTTCAGAGAAAGTGAAACGTTCCAAGAGTGTTGGAGGCAGGGTTGTTAAATCCTACAATGATACTGGCAAAATAGTTAGTGCTTTTAAAACCGGCAGACCCCGCAAAACTTCGGCAAGAGAAGATCGAATAATGCAGTGTATGTCATTAAAGGACCGTTTTAAGTCTTGCACAGAAATTAAAAGGGTTATGAATAGTACCTCATGTGTTAATGTGTCAAGACAGACTGTTTGTAGACGACTGCAAGAAATAGGGCTGTTTAATCGAACCCCAGGGAAGAAACCACTTGTTAGTTCGAAGAATAAGAAGAAGAGATTAGAGTTTGCAAACAGGTATGTAATTTGGACATATCAAAATTGGGCAAAAGTATTTTTCAGTGATGAAAGCAAGTTTAATTTATTTAGAAATGATGGAAAAAACAATGTAAAGAGACGTATTGGTGAAAGATTAAGTGCAAAGTGTACTAAGAAAACTGTCAAGTTTGGGGGCGGAAGCGTCATGGTATTTGGAATGTTTTCTAGCCAAGGTACAACGCCTCTTGTCTGGTTACAAACTCGTGTAAACGCGCAGATCTATAAAAATATTGTTCAAGATCATGTTGTGCCAATCATACAGAATTCAGGTTTCGATAGGGCTACCTTTATGCAAGATAATGCCCCATGTCACAAGGCAAAGGTGGTAATGAGTTACCTTAGCGAGCAAGATTTGAAAATTATGGATTGGCCACCGCAAAGTCCTGAAATCCAATAGAAAATCTTTGGTAGACCTTAGGAGTGAAAGTTATGGAAAGAAATCCCACTAACACGGAGGATTTGTGGGTGAAGCTTCAAGAAGAATGGTCTAAAATTAGTATCGAGGATTGTCAAGAACTGATTCGTTCTTGTAGTCGAAGATGTGCAGCTGTCATTGAGAGCAAGGGCTCATTTACTAAATATTGATTGTACATGTATTTTTATTGTTTTTTTGCCGTTTACATTGTTTTTCTCAATTTTGTCCATTACTTTTGGACGTTCCAAATTTGAAAATAAAATAATAATTGTTATAATTCTTTTTCTATCCTTTGCAAATGATTCAAATTTTAGTATGTTATTATGGATGATAACGACTACCAGTTGTCAAAATTTCAGCTTTTCACAGTTGTTATTTCTAACAAATATTAGGTTTTAAAATTTTGTCCCTTAGTTTTGGACGCTACTGTATATAAAAAAAATACCCACAATACGCACATACCACCAAATTGTAGCAACTTCACCTAAATCGGTTTAAAATACTATCAAACATCCAGCATGGAAGAACTTAATGTCATTAATCCATATAATATCCAACAATTTCATAAATTAAACTGTATTCCAAAATATAACTTCAACAAAACTCCAACATAAAAAACAAAAGCTGAGTATATTGATGCTATTTCTATTTGGACTACTGTCCTCATCTTTGTTGTTGTTATCACAATGTTTTATGTTCTCCAGCCTTCCTAAGGTGTTTATCAGTCTGGGTAGATAAATGTCAAGAGGCCTGAAGAGCAGAAAAGCCGAAGCATTTTAATAATAACCACAAAGATGAGGACAGTAGTCTGAATAGAAATATTGTAGATAATGATTTCCTCATACCAGAAATTCATGCAAAAAAAATTTTTTTTTTTCATATTACTATATATTAAACATCCCAGATCACTCCAGATCACAAATATTAAAAAAAAAAACATTCTAGATCACTTAAGCCAAAACAAAATATGCTCATGCAATGTCACTTCTTAAAATGTTAAAAAAAAAAAAAAAATTAAATTTGTTATCTGGAGTGCTTAATTGATAATAATATATGAAAAAGAACTCTAAAAAAAAAATAATAATAATAATAATAATAATAATAATAATTATTATTTTTCTCCCCCTCTTTCTCCTCCTTTTTCTCCTTCTATATACTGTGTCTTTTCAGGATGTTGGAGATCATGGCTCTCTTTAATGCTCTGTCCTTTGTAGTGTCTAATAAATTTTGTTTTTTTGTTATCTCTCCTAAACCCTGTTCTGCCATCCATTTACACAAGCTTGCTCGGTAGGTTACATGTTGTATTCCTCAGTCCTTCTTGCTTTCAATCTGTCCTGAGAGTATCTAATTTTCCAATCCCTCTTTCCTCCTATCCTGAAAATTTACTAATTACAAACCATCTAGACTTTCCTATAGATATCAAGCATAGTGTCTAACCTATTCAGAAATTGAATTATCCAAACAATCAGCTATAGACAACCATTTTCCTTGATCAATAATTTAAAATGATTTCAAAAGAATGAATCTTCTAGGTCTAAGAAAATAAATATACATTAGACATTACTTGAAGATTTACAACAGCAGCAACAACTGAAATGGATAGCACATGTAACTCAAAGAGAAAATAATGACATAATCATGATTTTGACTTTTGACACAACATGAAGCAAAAGATAAGTAAGTAGCAAGTTTCACTCAAACAGCTAACTCCCCAGAACTGTTGCTCTATGGAACAAACACCCAAGAGGATGCTTCCCTGATAACTACAATTTTGGTCTCTTTTATTCCATGGTAACTGATATATTTTTTACTTCTTTCTTCCTTATAACATATATATCTCACTCAGTAACCTGTCTACCTTGAGAAGGCCCTTGGGCTGTGTACTGGGTGAACTAACAGTAAATAAAAATGTTAGGAAGAAAACTGCTATCAATACTGGAAAAATCCACAACTTTTGTGAAGAGAAATATATTTCCCTGAAAAAAATTGACTAATGATAAATATTAGTCATCCTGTGTAAGATTATAAACTATATCTGGCATCAAAGCCTCTGAAAAGTGTGGAGCCACCTCTTAATTGCTGTTTTCCCCAGTTCCACCCTGGTAGGACCTGTTAGGGCCCCACCTATGAGCA